CTCTTGCCTTTCGTTCCCAGGGGCCGCGGGGGCCGATGGGGCTTTCTGGCCCGAAGGGGGAGAAAGGCGAGCCGGTAGGTGATGGGCGCGGGGCTGCCCCGTGGGGGTCCCTGGGGAGGAGGGGGGACCCTGGCAGGCACATGCCACCCCTGGCACCTCCTGACACCCAGTGTCTGGGTTACCCCAGGGTCTCCCCATCTCCTCTGGCCTCAGGGTGGCACTGGGTCCCCTGTCCTGCACTAGGGACACAACAGGGCCCATGGGGACACTGAATTTTGTTTTTCCTCCCCGCCCTCGTTCAGGGAGAGCCCAGGGTGATCGTGGATGGAGGACAGGGGCTGCCAGGCCGGAAAGGGGAGCCAGGCACACCGGTAGGTATGGGGTGGCGATGCTGGGGGCTCTCCGACGGCACCCCCAGCCTGTGCTGCAGCCCTGGCTAACGGAGCATCTCTGTCCTCCAGGGCAGCCCTGGCCCCCCCGGGAGTCCTGGCCCACGGGGACCATTTGGTGATCCAGGCCCACCCGGTCCACTTGGGCCTGTGGGGCCACCAGGACCTCCGGGAGAGTCTGTGAAGGTACATGCCCCTTGTTACCCGCCTCAGCTGGGGGGACGTGTGGACAGCTGGACAGAGGGACAGCCAGCAGCTTGAAGCTGCTCCCCTCTGCAATGCTCCCGGTCCCACTCGTGGGCTGTGCCCACGCACACGTACCCATGCATGAGCTGTTGCTGGCGCTGGGCAGCGTGCAGAGGCACATGGCATGCATGTGCCCTGATACCACTGACGATGGGCTCTGTCCAGCATGTTCCCCCTCGAGGAAGAGCCCAGACCTGCCCTTACCCACTTTTTTTTTGCCCTTGCAGGGGGAGAAGGGTGACCGAGGGGAGAGGGTGAGTGGCTCTGCATTTCCCTGGCTCCTCTGCCCTCCTGGACAGAGGTCCCGTGGGTGCCCGAGGGCACTGCAGCCGCCCCAGGGTGCTGGGAAGGACTGAGCCCTCCGGGGCCGTCACGCAGGAGCTGACCCCTGTCTCTGCAGGGGCCCCCCGGACTTGTGGATGGGGCAGCGCCTCGAGGGGAGCCCGGCCCCCCGGTGAGTCTGGCCCTCGGGGCAGCAGGGATGGCAGAGGGGAGTGGGGCAGTGGCAGCCGTGTGTCCCCAGGGCTGAGCTGTGTCCCCGGGGGCTGAGCTGTGCTCTCTTGCAGGGCCTGCCTGGGGACCCCGGGCCCCGGGGACCTGCTGGGCCCCCCGGCCTGAAGGGAGAGAAGGTAAGAGGGCGGCGGGGATGCTCCGTGCTGGGGCCAGACCCCACACTGCCCTCCAGCAGGGATACCCATCCCCATCTCACGGGCATCCCCATCTCACGGGTACGGCTGTCGCCTTTCCTAATCCCCAGGGTGACAGCAAAGAAGGTTTCCCAGGGCCACCCGGCCGCCCCGGGGACCCAGGAGACCGGGTGAGTTTCCCAAGAGAAGGTAAGGCGAGCAGGAGCCGAGCCCCGAGGGCACCCTGGAGGGCTCCCGCTGGCTGTTTGCCCTGCCATGCTGGAGGTGACATCTTCTCCATCCTCCTTTGCAGGGCCCTCGGGGACCGCCGGGGGAGCAGGGCAGGAAGGTGAGTGGTGTGGGGACCGAAGGGATGCTCTTGCCTTGCCTTCAGCATGGAGAAAAGGGGTCTGGGTGCTGTGCCAGGACCCGTGCCGTCACCCGTGGGTCCTGCTGCTCTTGACTCCATCTTCCTCCTGCACCAGGGAGACCGTGGAGCGCCGGGTGAGCTGGGAGAGACGGGCGAGAAGGTGAGATCGTGGAGTGGGACCGTGCCATTCGGCAGCATCGTCGGGTCCTGGTGTTCCTGCAGCCCCGTGGTGGCTGTGCCTGGGGGTTGCTGTCAGAGCCCAGTGGTCTCGGATGGGATTTGGGGCCAGGCCCCGAGAGGCTCTGGGGCAGTGTGGCAGAGCGTGGAGGGAGGACGGCTCCCTGAAACCCTCCTCTGCTTCTCTCTGCAGGGGGACCGCGGTGTGCCGGGCCCCGAGGGCGAGAAGGTAGGTGGGCTGGGGTGGCTGCAGCCATGCCGGGGTGACGCCTGCCCTGCCCTGGAGCAGCTGCCCTGGTACCGGGTGGAAGGATGCCCCTGACACCTTCCTCTTCCTCCCCTCCTCCAGGGCGAGGTGGGAGCCCCGGGGCGCCCAGGGCCGTCGGGCAGAGAGGTGAGTCGGGCCAGTGGCCGCGGTGCTGTGGACCTGGCACCCTGGGAGCGCGGGGGGTTGCCATGCCCCGGGTGCGTGTCCCCAGGCACCGCCAGCCCCCTGAGGTCTCTTCTCTCGCCACAGGGAGCTCCGGGACCGGCCGGCCCCCGGGGGGAGAAGGTGAGGGCAAAGCAGGGTCCCAGCGGGGTGGCAGGGGGCCACTGGGGAAGGGGCTAACAATGACACCCATCTCTCCACAGGGCGATCCGGGACCACCTGGCAAGCCGGTAAGTGATGCTGCCCAGCGGGTCCACCTCTGCCTGTCCCAGCCCCGGGACAAGGAGCCATGGGCAGCACCCAGCATGGTCCCCTCTGCTTCTCCCCCAGGCTCCCAGCGTGGCCGTTGTTGGAGGAGAGAAGGTAACCCTGCCCCGGCTGTGCCCCCCCGGCCTCATGCTGGCACCCCCCGGGGCACGGCCGTGGGCTGGGGAGTGGGGACAGCACGGCTGGGCATCAACTGGAGGGGATGCCCATGCTGGTCCCCAGAGCTGGCTGTCCCCAGATGCAGTGGGGGGAAGAGGGGTGGTTTGGGGGGGCTGATGGTGCCACTTAATCTGCTCCAGGGTGACAGAGGCTTCCCAGGACCAGAAGGACCTCCTGGCCCCAAGGGGGACGCAGGAGATAAAGGTGCCCGTGTGAGTACTGCCTGGGGATGGGGGGCACAGGGGGCATGGCACAACCCCCCTGGGCTCACAGTGCCCATGCCATTGCTCCAAGCTGCATCCCTTCATGTCTAGGGTGACCCTGGCCTGAGCATCCCGGGGCCAGCTGGCCCCAAAGGCGAGCAGGGCGATAGGGTGAGTCTGGGTTTGTCCTGGGGCTGGGGCTGGCTGGGCTCTGCCCCAGGGCGCCAGCTCACGGCCCCGGTCCCTCCCCTGGCATGGGGCCACCCTGGTCCCTGGTGACACGGGCTCTCCCTCTCCAACAACCAGGGTATCGTTGGCCTCACGGGCAGGAGTGGCCCAAAGGTAATGTCACTGCAGGAGGCATCACCCCTCCATCCGTCTGTCCATCCATCCATCCATTGGGCTCTGGAGGGGCTGTCCAGCACGCCACGCTGCGATGCTGCTCTGGGGAGTGGAGGGTGCTGTGCTGATCCCCTTGTCCCCCCGGCAGCCCCCACACTCTCCCTACACTGCCCTGACCCATTCCCCCTTATCCCCCTGCCTAGGGCGACCCAGGGGAGCCGGGGGAGAAGGGTGAGCCTGGCCGACCAGGCGCCCCGGGCCAGATCGGGCTGCGCGGCAAGGAGGTAGCGTGGGGTGAGGGGGGCAGCAGGTGTGGGGGCCGTGGGGCCCTGGGGCCCCGAGGAGGTG